TCCAGAGCTTCGCGTGCCAGCGAGAGCGAGGAGGGCTATCTTTCGTATTCAAAATTTGCGCGGCATTACAGTGAGAGCACTCCAGCACATTGACCCGGCAAATCCCGAAGCACACCCACGCACTGTTTGCGTGAACCTGCGCAGCTGCCACACCACGCGCTCTGCAATCTGTCAGCTGTTGACCGATGAGAGTGACACTTCAAGCTTCAGAGGCGATCTACCCGTCTCTTAGGCTTCTCAGGACTCAGGATCAGACTTTTGATAAATTGGCGCATAGCTGGGAATGGTCACCGAAGATGCAAGGGGCGCATAGACGTTGGAGGGTAGCTGGCCTGTCGACCAACACAACAGTCAAGCAAGTTACAAGGCTAGCAGCTTGGCACGCACCTTGAAATCCAACCCATCCGGAAAAGTTGCTTTGAAGGAAAGAAAATTCATCATGGCTGAGGTGCTCCAATCAACTCAGAAGCATGATGGTCCATGCTCAAGATTCAAGACAGCCATGCAGGGCACAGGCCTTTGGAAACGATCACATCTGCCCTTCGTATGCTGGACTTGAATCGCCGATGACCTACATGGAAAGACGCATGCTTTGTTCCGGTGCTCAAGATCAAGCCTACTACAGCAGCAATGGCGGCTGTAAGCGACTGCCACTCCACCAGTGACACTTGTGCGCCGCCATGCTGACGTTGCCTGTCAGGCATAATCAATTGTCCAACGTGCAGCAACAATACACTACGTGGTCACTACGTTCCAAACAGGCAAGGGCACGATGCCAGATCGCGCGAAGCCCCCTGTCGATCGTGGGTTGTGCATTGCACGGTTTGGGAAGGCTTGACTGAATTCTGGCAGTGACAAATTTGATGCATTTTCAGCCTATCATTGAGCTACGCAGTCAACTCAAACAGGCCTCCACGTGTTGAGTGAGCGTCGGCCAAAGCCACTGCACCTTGCAAGATTCAGACTAGTGCTGAGACAGTTGGAGACACCAGCCTGATCTTCATGTATGTAGCCAGTACATGCTGGATCCAACCGTCGAAACAGCGCGACTGAAGCCTGCAGTTGCAAGAAGGAATCAACATAAAAGACAGTCGCCAGCAAATTCAGTCAACTCGTGATGGATTGCGGGTGCTCCTTGCAGCTGGAGGCTGGTAATCTGAATTACTTTGTGACAGGCAAATCGGCCATCTTCATTTCAGACTGTGGCCCGCTTGCAATAGGCAGGCCGGTCTGCTTGACAGCTTGACAGGACAATATGGAGAGCAAATTTGTAGGGCCTCCCAAGTCCACTGGACATGTAGAACAGACTTAGGTCAACTACTTTCACAACAATTGCCAAGCTCAAGATTCTTGTCAAGAAAGCCTTGCCTCGTCCCAGCAATCGGCTGCACTCCGCCTTCGGCCTGATGCAAGCAATACCCTGCGAACAACTGGCGCTCTGCTGAGGGCCTTGACGGAAAGGCGGAGCAACCGTGTCTTGGTGCCTGGCACGCAGGCTTGTGCTGAATGAAACTCCAGAGCGCCTCTGCTTCCTGGTTTCTTTCTGACGGGAACACCGTGGATGAAACACAGGCGACGACGATTGACAAGTACTCTGGGGAATCTAGGAATCTACAATTCATGCATGTTTCTAAATTCCCAACGCCTGATGCATTAGGATGTTCTGCGCAAGTCAATAAATGCTGAACAATAAATGTTGAACAAAACAAATTGAAATAGCTAATCTTAAAATGCTAATCATTTTACGGCGCCATATGGATCTAGAAAATCGCCCCAACATGGTGAAAGCGTTGTTGATGCATTTGGATGTGTGTTTGTTTGTGATTATGATCATTGGTACATGTCCAGCAGAAACATGGTCATTGCTGAACTATACAACCAATCAAGATACTTGAATCTCAAGACTTACTGGAGATCGTGTGGCTGTCAACTTGGCCAATCACTTTGTTGTACGCAACCTATTGTGCAATAAAACCTCCTCCCAACTTAGCACAAAACGTGTGTGCTACTGCAGTATGGGGCGCTAGCTCGCCAACTTTGAAACATGAAAGCTACTTTGATTCCTCTGTGTCCCATGCTGTGTATGCACCGGTTGAACATAGTGATAGTCCGAGAAGTGGGAATGTGCACAACCTTCATGGCCCTTAGCTCGATCTGGAATTCCCAGACGGCGTGTTGAACATAAGAAATGCACTTTACCTGCTTACCTCCTTACCGCCTTACCTATCCCCACACTCAGCACCCACCCACCCCCAGCCGCCTGCCCGGCACCCACCCACCCACCCACCCACCCTAGCGTGCGCGCGCGCATGCGCGTGCGTGCGTGCGTGCACGCGTGCATGCGTGCGTGCTTGCGCGCACACGGCGTGCACCCAAAGCCAGTCAAACGAAGACTGCATCCCCGATCCCCGGCATCTGGTCTCAGCCCCACAAAAACCTTGGAAAATGACCAAACACACACGGTGTGTGCAATGTTTTCCGCATAGTTGCGCCAGCCACGCTTTCGCAGCAACCCCGCTCACTTGATCGCAAGTATTGGCCCCTACTCTGACCATTTTTTGAGGGTTGCTGGAAAGCCCAGCGCAGGATTCCTGAAGGGGGACTTTTTGTCTGGGCTGGCCTGCGTCCGGGTGATGCAGGTGATGCTAAGGAGGAGCCGCAACAAAACATCGAGCTCGAAGACACACAGCGCAGCTGGATTCAGACAATGCAAGTGATGCTGGTGATGCTGGCGATGTTGTGGAGGAGCTGCTGAGGATGGCCAAGATTTTTGCGCAATCGCGGGGCACGCCTAAAGTCCGTGCCCCTGGGAGGATGTTGGACAAAACGGGCACAAAGGGTCAAATGAAAACCTTACACTCTTGATGGCTTAAATCTAAAAAAGCTTAAGCTGACAATTAGTGGCTTAACATGTTAAAATCTCAATAGCTGAGTCTGGCATCTTTATGGCTTACATTATGAACATCTTAATGGCTTAAAATCTAAAATCCGCCCTGGCTGAACATCTTGAAACCTTAGTGGCTTGACGTGTTAAAGTATCAATGGCTGAAAATCTGAAAACATTGATGGCTGAAAACATGAAAACCTAAATGGAGTAAACTCTGAAAAATATGATGGCTTGCAATCATAGAATGTGTGTGTGTGTGTGGCTTAAATTAACTGTGTTAACATCTTCATGGCTTAAAATCAATGGCTTCAAACAATAGAATCTTAATGGCTTCAAACAATACAATCTCAATGGAGTAAAATATTAAAGTGTCTAAATATCTTCATGGCTTAAAATCGTCAAGTCGTCGAATCTTAGTGGTTTAAAATCTGACTGGCAAAATCTCAAAAATGGCAGAGCCAACATCTCAAAATCTTAGTGGCTTAGTGTGATGATATTTGAATGGCTTAAGCTCTAAAAATCTTGATGGCTGACAATCTGAAAATCCTAATGGAAAAGTCTGAATGGCTTACAATCTTAAATTATTGACGTCTTAACATCTAAATGGCCTAAAGTCTTAAAACTACAATGGCTTACAACATTGAAATATTAATGGCTTCAAACCTTGGAATCTTAGTGGTTCTATATTAATGGCTTAAAGTCGTAACATCCCATTGGCTTACAATCTTTAAATCCTAAAAGCTTCAAGTCTTAGACTTAGAATTGTAATGCCTTGAAACCTGAACATATTAATGGTTGAAAACCTGAAATTCCTGACGGATTAAGCTCTGAGAATCTGAATGGCTTTCAATCGTCAAAATATTAGTGGCTCAACGAGTTAACACCTCAAAGGCTTCCTTCCAATCCTGAAATCTTAATGGCTTCAAGCCTTAGAATCTGAATGGAGTGAAAACTTAAAATTGCAGTGGTTTAACGTGTTAAATCTGGATGGCTTACAGCCTGAACATCCCAATGGCTTAAAATATTCAATCTGAATGGCTTAAAGTCTTAACATCTCCATGGCTTAAGTACGTTCTGCAATCTGGATGGTTTCAAGTCTTAACATTTCCATGGCTTAAAACCTTCAAGCCTTAGTGACTACAAATAGTATATTCTCGATGGCGGAAAACCTTTAAATCTTAATGGCTTAAAAACAAGACACGCCTCTGTGCTCCTCAAAGGGAAATTCAAAGGCACAATTCCAAAGAGAACGTTCCAATGGCACAATTCCAATGGGACAATTCCAATGGGAAACCCCCGATGTGAGAATTCCGTTGGGAGACTTTTAATGGGAGAATCAGAGAATTTAAATGGGAGAATTCCCATGGAAGAAACTGGACAATTCCAAAGAATAATTCCAATGGGAGAACACGAAAGGGTGAAGTCCAATGAGAGAACTTACATGGGAGAAATTGGACAATTCCCAAAGGGAAACTTCCAATGGGAAGATTCCAAAGGGAAAATGCCAGTTGGACAAGTTCAATGACAAAATTCCAAAGATCAAATGTCAAAGGAAAAATTCCAAAGGGAAACTTCCAATTGGAGACTTCCAATAGGAGAATTCTAGCGGGAAAACATAAAAGGGAAACTATCAAAGGCAAAATTCCAAAGGGACACGTCCCATGGGAAGGTTGCAAAGGGAAATATCCCAAATTTCAATGGGCCAATTCCAAAGGGACGCATATAAGAAAGCTGGCCTGTAATCTCGGCGGCCTGAGCCGGAGGTGTTAAAGTCAGGACTTCTTTCTAAAGCAAGTTCTGTTCCAGTAGCTCTCGGGGAAATGGTCAACGCGGCCAACTTTAAGAACTTTGGAGAAAACATCTCGCACCAACTCTCCAGACATCGCAGCACCACAAACTTGCCAGGCAAACACCACAATCGCCATACCTAGGTGCCGCATGCAACAGTACATACCAATACAGCTGCATCCCTTAAGGCCTACACTTGCAGAGCGCACGCTTCAGCTTTCCATAGCAGCTTTGAACCCTTGCCTAACTTTGAGACACTGCGGGAACATTGGCACAAGAAACCGCATGTAACATACATGCAGAAAGATGCGCAAGCCGATGCTTTCTGACCGCGCCCCACAGGAGTCCATGTCAGAGGTGACACTCTGCAAACCCTTTGGGTCACAGATTTCGGGCTGCTATGCGTCCTACTGCGATTCTTGCGAGCAAACTCGCCGCATGAAGTCTCGGATGAAGGCAGGAGACCTTGATTGCTTGCGCGTGCCTTTCTTTGAGAATAACAGGAGGCTGGGATGCTGGCGGTGGATAAGGACTCTGTGCGATTTCGAGACTGGGCAAGCTCTGACTGCCATTCAATGCCAGCAGATTTTCCTGGCCTGAAAGACAGGCAAGCTCAGCACAGGGAGCCCAACAAATGCCAGAATTTGCAAGTCGAAGCCTTTGCGTGGCTGCAGGTACAGCGAGGCCTGCATTCGACTTGACTGGTGGCGACTATGCGTTTGGCAGCTTGCAGCCTTGGCAGTGAAGGGGCCCTGGGAACTGTGTCTAGTGTCTGGCCAGCGAGGTGCACCGGACCTCGAGACAAACGCTTCTCGTGACTCGTGCTCAAGTATTGCAGAGGAAGGCACAGGGAGAGATTCCCATGCACAGCGCCGCTTGCAGAAGGCACCCACCTGCAAGCGCCATGGGGGCCAAAAGCCATGCGAAGCCTCACGTGTGTTTCGTCTGAGGCATGTGCTCATCTCTGCCAGCATGCAAAGCATGGCGCTTGTAACTCATAGCATTGGCCTCGGTTACATGCGCTTGATTGATGTTCAAAAAGCAGGAACATCCATGGTGGAGCCAAAGCAGCTTCATACCACTGCTTCGTGCCCACAACAAGCTCAGCATGCTTCCACCTGCACGCACCCCCGACCCTTTTTGAGAAGCAATCTCAGCGGTAAGCATGCTATATTATAAATGAGATGCAGTGCGTGCACAATTCTGCACTGTGCAACAACCGTGAGGTTCTCATTGACCGACCCCACCATGTAGAAACTGCCGCCCAAACACCTGATCCTGTTGTCTTCTTCCCTCTCAAGGGCTGCAACTTCCTTCTTACCAAAACTATCGTGCCATGACATTGCGTATTGTTCCGTTTTGGTCGCCTAGCCATCGTGTTTCTCTCGGCGTCCGTCATCTGCGACCTAAAGAGTGCGTCATCTACAAACCTTTAAACAAAAAGCGCCGCATCATCTGCGACGCTGAAACCTGCCCGTTGCTGTGTTTCCCAGCTTGCGAGAGGCCCAAATGGCCCACCAAAATTATCCCAGCAAGAGACCCCAAATAGTAGTAACAGGAAACCGAAGCACCAACATGCAAGCAAGTGCCTTCCGCGAACAATGCCGCACAATCTTTGCTGAAGCCTTGCTGGCCATGAAATAAGCGCAAACATGTTCAAACACTAGGCTACGCCGTCCTGGCTCCTCGTCGGATGCGAAACACTTGAGATCTTCAGTGGGTGCAGATCTGTCTAGGCTCTTGTAAATATACTTGCACTCAAAACCTGGCTGACTCGGTCAGTCTTGCTGTCACTAGGCACATGATTAATCTCCTGGATGAATGAGCGAGCACAAGCAGGGAGGCAAGTGGAACTGTGACAAGGTCCTAGTGAGCAAGCGAAGGGCAAGGGGGGAGACAACTCGAGAGACAAGTGGGACACATGGGGAAACAAGCACAGGGACAAGCACGAAGACAAGTGGGGCGACAAGCCGGGACAAAGTGCAAAAAAGCAAGGGGAGACAAGCCACGACAAGGCCCGAGCCAGCAACATGCGGAGACAAGCGGGCAGACACGCGGGAAGACAAGCTGTTACTAGGTGCAGAGAGAGAGAGAGAGAGGGAGAGAGAGACAGAGAGAGAGAGAGAGAGAGAGCGAGAGAGACGGAGAGAGGCAGAGGAAGAGAGTGAGAAACAGTAAGAGAGAGCGAGAAAAAGAGACGGAGACGGAGAGAGGCAGAGGAAGAGAGTGAGAAACAGTAAGAGAGAGCGAGAAAAAGAGACGGAGACGGAGAGAGGCAGAGGAAGAGACAGAGAGGGAGAGAGAGAGACGGAGAGAGACGGAGAGAGACAGAGAGACACAGCCAGAGACGGAGAGACGGAGAGAGACGGAGAGAGCCGGAGAGAGCCGGAGAGAGACGCAAGAGAGAGTGAGAGAGAGAGACGAAAGAGAGATGGAGAGGGACACAGAGAGGCACACAGAGACACAGACAAACGCAGAGAGACATACAGAGACACACAGCGTGACAGAGTATCACCAAGAGTCAGAGGCAGAGATAACGGCACACTAAGCAACCTCGCAATCTTCTGATTCTGCAAGCATTCAACAAGTCTTTGACTGCCATCACTGGGCCACTACCAATGCAGGACTTGCCTTGCATAGCCCAAACGGCTGGGTCTAGTGTAAAGGTGCCTGGGCACTCAATTCGACTCTTCCAAGGTGACCAAGTGCTTGGCTGCAAAGGCAAGCCATGTCAATCCAGCTTTCTTGTTCGACATAAGCCACATGACTAGCAAACAAGACAATCAGCTCAGCTCAGTGGGATACCCCTCCAGACCAGGATGGAGCTGTGGATAGCTTCTTGGGCATTTCCATCCTAGGGAGTCGAAGAAATCGAAAGATCCAAATCCAAGCTTGAAGCTTCCACAGCTTCCACACAATTCGATCCCGTCCTTGTGGCTGAGATGCTGTCTTGGGGGAGTCTTTTGGCAAGGCCTTGAGAGTCTCCTGCATGCTGGAACTCCCAGTTCAAGCCAGAAAGCAAAGAAGCGTGGATGTGAGCTTCGTGCCTGTCTCTTGAAAGCCTTGAACCAGAAAAATATTGCTCTGTCCTCTTTGGCAGACTTTGCAATTGATGGCTTGGAACCGCTGCCAGGCATCTTCGCAAATCACAGCTCATTCACTCACGGCCAATAGCTAAGAGCGCTGAACACGTGCCCAAATATAAAAACTGGTGTCTGAACGTTCTCTGCTTCAACAGCGTGGAGTGGCACGGCTGCAAACAATTGTTGGAATAGCAAAGTCAATATGCTGTCAATGTCTGATTCAAAGCGTTGAGAGGAGGCAGCAACGGATGACCAATGTCAATGATGCAAAACATGGCACGTGAAAACCGTGCTCAACATTAGACAAACCACTCTGCAGCATCATGGGTACAGCATGAACCAATGGTGTGATTAGCCGCTTTCATGCATTTAGGGTTGAGCTCTTGAATGGTCAACTCGCCGAATGCGTGTTTTGCTTCATCCTCCGAGGTCTGGATTGGACGAAGACTGCGCACTATGTACAACTACGCACCGGCATGTAGAGGCTCAGGCAACACTTGCATTTGGCGCTAATGATGCGCACCTGCAAGCTGATCTCCCTCACAGTCTCTCTTCAATTGCGCATTACAAGGACAGCACAGCTCACAGCCATGACAGAGATGGCAATAGGAACAGCGCCGCAAGGAAAACACAAAGCAAGGAAAAAGGCATGGCTCCCGGCCAGCTCGCAGAATAGTGTTGCTGGATGTAAGACATTCTCTTGCCTGACATGCGGAAGCAGCCAACTCCTTTGTTGTGGCGCAAAGCAATGCTTTTGCATAGGCATCACACGTGTTGCATTCGATTTTCCCGCTGTCAATCAATCGGGACAAAGTGCACAGGCCTAGTGGTACAACGGGCAGACGCTTCGTCGCATCTCCCCCCAACAGTGGAGCTCAGTTCATCAGCATTCTTTGACACCATGCCCATGGCTCTGGCATGTGGAGCCGCACCACAAACCTCTTGAGCACTTTGTGCCTCAAATCCTTCCAATGTGCGGCGTGACAATTGAGGGTTTTTCTGACTTGCAACTGTTTCAGTCAATGGCTGAGACTTCAACCTCTCAAGAAAACGAGCAGTGCCGCTGGGATGGGCAGTTTCACAGGCCCAAACAAGTAGCGATGCATCCTCCGCACCAAGCTCTTGGATCTTGTCTTCGGCACACTGCAAGGCTGCTTGCAAAAGACGAGAAGCATCGTCACCCGTTTTATCACTCAGACATGCTGCAGACCAGCAAACGCGGGCAATGGAAGCTGATGAGAAATCCCGAATTCTGGCCAAGCAGGCAAGGAGTATAACTTTGACCAGCCTTGAATCGAATTGACTGATTGTCAGAGCGCAGGCCCCCACTGCTTGTTCCAGCTTCGCATGAGCGACTTTTGGATGCAACAGCACAGACCGCACCTGCCACAGCAGCGTCTCAACCTCGCCGCCCTCCTCCAGATTACGCATCGCATCAGACAGAGCACGCAGCAAACGTTGCTGCATTGATGGTGTGGTTTGAGGGGGGCCATGTAATTCGCCAATGAAATAGTTTACTGCCATCAACGCGCATCGCTTTCTAGGATTTCTCTCTCGACGCAGCGACTCTGCAAGATCTGGCGGCAGCTTGAGTGCTGCCTGCTCCAGACAATATTCTGATTTTGAATCAGTGTCGTCAGAATCATCTGCTAGCCCCTCCCACTTCTTGTACCATCTCTCGAGGGGTGCCATGTACGGAGGAGCACTAGAGTCAAGCTGGGCCTGCTGGCGAGCCGACAAAGACTCAACTGCACTGCAAGATTGAGAGTCTGAACCTGTGCATGCAGTGCCTGCAGTTCATGCAAGCAAGTGCGCTTTCTGCCGCAAATTCGAAACTGGCCAGATGCGCTTGCCGAAGCAAAGATTCAAGCTCCTCCATCGTGATGGATCCGATGTACCTTCAGCTTGCAGCTACCGAGCTGTAGATTCAGCGCAGGCCGGGCACTTGGTCGCATCATCCACTTCGGGTCTCTGAATGGTCAGCTGGCAGCCCCTCGATGCAAAGAGGGGTTTGTCGTTTCGTGTCTGTATGTGGCACGCCTGGCATAGAAAAGCATTGCAGGTGAGCCCCATATGCCCAATTGATGTGCCTTGAGCGCCTTGGCAGCGTCTCGAAACGGAAAGCCATGCGCCCAGCCCCCAGCCTCCTGATCAGCATCCACGAAGAACACCTTTCTGTCCAAGAAAAAACAATCGATTTCAGTGTGCCAAGGTGCCATGTGCGTTTGCGTCTCAGATGATCACATCAACTCCGCACGCTGGCCCTGCAGAAAGGAGCTGCCTGACCGCCTTGGTTTGCGAATGTACTCGCACCCGCGCCTGCCTGCTGGCCAAGCTTGCAGCCATTTGCGATGGGCCAAACCAAGGCTGCACAAAGGCAATCACCTCAAGGCAGATTCTGGTGTTTCCAGAGCAGGAATTTCACCCAATAAGGCTGGGCTTCCTGCAGAAACTGGTGCAGATGTGGCCCCATCCTCCCATACCAGACAAAGCGGGGAAGGCAAAGGATCAAACTGGCCTTTGCTGCCTAGGGCAACAATAATCTGGTGAAGCAGGTTGCGTAGTGAATATACAAGAATATGTGTGTGTGAGTGGGTGGGTGGGTGGGTGGGTGGGTGGGTGGGAGGGTGGGGTGGCGTGGGCGTGGGCGTGGAAGTGGGCGTGGGCGTGGACGTGGCCGTGGGCTAACGTTCGTGTGCGCAAGGGCGTATGTGCACGTGTGCGTGTGCGTGCGCGTGCGCGTGTGCGTGTAAGTGTGCGAGTGCGCATGCGCGAGTGCGTGTGCGTGTGCGCGCGCATGCGCGTGCGCGTGGGTGTGCATGTGCGCGTGCGTGCGCGTGCCCGCGGGTGCGAGTACGGGCGTGGGTGCGGGTGCGTGGGCGTGTGCGTGCGTGTGTGCGTGTGTGCGTGTGCGTGCGTGTGCGTGTGCGTGTGCGTGTGCGTGCGCGTGCGCGTGCGCGTGCGCGTGCGCGTGCGCGTGCGCGTGCGCGTGCGCGTGCGCGTGCGCGTGCGCGTGCGCGTGCGCATTGAGCTTACGCACAAACTCTGCCTGAGCCGGCGCGCGCGGGCAAGCGCGCCGAAGCTTCGAGCGAGCCCCGATGTTGGACAATTCGCCTGATCAGAGATAATAAACGCACTGCCTGGATTGGGGAGTCAAGCGAATGCGTTTTGCGCACGCTTGTAGCCGGCCGGGCTCAAAGGCTAGCAGCTACGCGGTGCGCGCTATTTGCGCTACGGCAGTTGCATGGAGTTGCGAGTGTCGATCCGAGGCTTGTTCTTGCCATGCGCCGAGCTGTTAGCCCGTTCGCGCGCCCGCAGAAAGTCCGAGGGTTTGCAATTTTGGCCGACCTAAACTCGAGCGGCGGGGCTGGAAGCTGACTCGGACATAACATAACCGCTCTTTTTGGATGCAGTTTGGGGTAGGGAATTTCGGGGCTGGGGATTCAGCTGAACGTGAGTTTGAGTCGAGTGGTTCATGTGATCTGACCATCCCCCAAGATTGTGCCATAGCATAGGGCTCGCCTGGGAGCTAGCCCTGCATGCCCGTTCAAGAACTTGAGAAGCTATCACGCGCACACACACACACCCACCCACCCACCCACCCAACCCACCCACCCACGCACGCACGCATGCACGCACGCACGCACGCACGCACGCGCGCACGCAGGCACGCACGCACGCCCGCACGCACGCCCGCACGCCCGCACGCCCGCACAGGCGCACACAAACCCACACGCACACAAACCCACACACACACATGCACACACACACACACACAAACACACACACACACACACACACACACACACACACACACACACACACACCCACCCACCCACGCACGCACGCACGCACGCACGCACGCACGCACGCACGCACGCACGCACGGACGCACGGACGCACACGCACGCACGCACGCACGCGCGCGCGCACGCGCACGCGCACGCGCGCGCACGCGCACGCGCGCGCACGCGCACGCGCACGCGCACGCGCACACACACACACACACACACACACACAGACACACACACACACACACAGACACACACACACACACACACACACACACACACACACACACACACACACACACACCCACCCACCCTCGCACGCACGCACGCACGCACGCACGCACGCACGCACGCGCACGCGCACGCGCACGCGCACGCGCACGCGCACGCGCATGCGCACGCGCACGCGCACGCCCACGCGGGAAGTAGTGTCTTCGACAGTGCGCCAGTTCTGGCCACTCACAAGACCAGTTACTCACGCAGCGCGTGGGACAAACGCTCTGCCGTGTGACGACGGGGTAGCGCCGCATCGGGTTGTTTGGAACAGCTTTTAGCCGGATCACAGGCGTGCTATGCTTTTGGGAACTTCCGCTGCTGGCTCTAGTATTCATTGATCAGTGCATAAATTCACTGGGGAAAACGGATTGCCAAACAACAAACTAATTATGACATCAAATCCCAAAACGCGGTTCGCCTGGGAGGCCGGTGTAGCATACAACTGGAATCGCCAGGTTCCCACTCTCCGTTGTCATGGCTTTCAATGCCCTACACTGAAGTAATGTCGCCTCAGCGCGCGCAAATGGAATGCACTCGCAGCCAAGTTCCGCCATGGTCCTCAGCTTGGGAAATCGATGAGCTTTGGGATGAGCTTGCAACCCGAGCTGAGGTCTTCACACCCGTCACCCAGACGCACCATTTATCAGGTTTGAGCACATTGACACTTTTGCATGAGGCAAACAAACCGTTTGCATGACCACGGGTGAAAGCAATCTCACAGTTTCAACAGAGACCCCATGTTGTCAGCTGGTGCGCCATTTTGACACTGGGCATTTGCAGTTCTTCAGCTCGGCGCTTTGTCCTTCGCTGCATCAAGAGCATTCTTGGCGACCTGGCAAATTGACAATAGTCGAGCAAATGGAAGGAGACACAAACTTGCCTAAAGGTTATTTGGGGGGCGCGAGCCCAAGGACTGGACCCCGTCGAATTGCTCTCAAACACAGCTCACATCCTCTCGTGAAGAGCCCGAGAGGCTGGATGTATGGGCTGTATTACGCTAGAAAGAAGTGACCCCTGTGTTGCATAAAGGCCTTCGAAGCCAAGTAGAGGAGGGCGAGCGTTGCAGCTGTGGCAGCGATGTAGCTTGGCCTTCCAGTCCAACTTTCAACTTTACCAAGCAAACCTTCCGAAAGCGAATCTGAGGCGAAAGCAAGGGAAGCGCGCCACCAGACTCCACTACAGAGCGGGCATGTGTCGCTGCATATACGAGCCTCATTCAGCAGCCAACGCTAAGAAAACACCAGGATCAAGATATCGGTGGCAGTATGCAAGGACCTCACGCTGCAGTGCATGGCATGAATCCAAGAATATTCGCGATGAGGAATGCTGGGAAGGCAACCTTCAGCAAGCCACGAAGGCACAGTGCGCTCACGAAATGACTAAGTTTCTAAGATCCTGTCTTTGCTCAAGCCGCAAGCGTATGATAGAATCGAGAATGGAATCAGCGGCGAAAGCCGCAGCAAAAAAATGATCTTGAAGCCTGGGGCGCGTGACATATCTCACACAAAAGAATCGCCTTCGCGTGCCAGAATTTTCACTCTGATGGCAACCCTTGCTGAGCCTTCAAGTTCAACGGCACGGTTGATCTGCCGGAACGCCTCAGCTTCGTTAGAATATTTGAGCGCAAAGTGGCTGAGTCGTAACGGAAAGCAACAAAATGGACACATTGGCTAGTACTTAGAAGGCGAACAAAAGAGTGAAACATCCCAAGATACGCAAACCCGTGCAAATGTGACGGGGAAACGCAGTGCGTAACACATTGCTCTAACATTTGCAGGGACCATGTAAAGTACAAACAACGCAAGTTTGAGCGATGACAGGAATACAAATCAAACCAATCGGCGATGAATCAGGGGCACACGCACAAACACACGCACACACGCACACACACGCAAACACACACACACACACACACTTGTCCCTCAGACCAGGAAGCGGTCAGATCACCATTTAGATCATAGGGGGCCGTGTCACGTGACTCAAAGCCAATGCTCCAGCTGCCCAAGCGAGCCATACACGTGGGCTGGGGCAACAATGGCGACCTTCGGCTTTTTGTGGCTTAGGCAGACACAGCCCCAGCCCCCGCGCTAAAAGCTGCCAGCGTCTAGCAAAGTCTAGTGGGCTTGTTGCTTGCTCCTGCACAGGCGTGAACTTTTTCCCGCAAGCAAGTCAAGTGGCACTAGCAAGTTGCATGAGGGATTGCTTGAGCAAGTTACGGAAGCAAGTTACGAGGAAGACACGCAAGAGTTCGCAAAGCCAGTTGTGCGAGCAAGTAACACGATACATTGCTTAAGCAAGCGACACAAGAGCAAAACCTACTTTTTCAAACATCTGCAATCTGCGGGGATTGATTGATGTGGTCGACGTGCAAAAACTGTGGGGCTGCCCCTCTGCGGGGATTGCCGTAGGTGAAGCTGAAAAAAACTGCGGACTTTTGCGCGAAATGCTACTTTTGAAGCGGCTCGAAAGTTTGCTTCAGGGTCTGGGCAATAGCAGCTTTTCGCCCAGCCCAGTTCACCATCCCCCAGCCTCGGCCCAGCTTGGGCTGGGGCTTGGTGAGACGCGCTCTGTTTTAAACAATGCGCAACTTCTCCAGGAAAGCACAGGCGCGCCACCCCGTATCTGCGGCGATGATTTCAACGCTTTTGACGGCAAGCACCCCTTCACAGGGGGGCAGTGGTTTCAAGCGCAGAACTCGCATCTGAGCTCACGCCTACATTCCTTCCTCACACACCAGTTGGAGCGCGAAGCTCCGCAAAGATTGTATTCACGCATCCTGTTCATGGCAACCTTTAACAAAAGGCGAAAGATCTGCGCGCAATGACACGACCGCTGCGACAATTGGGACGGCGCGGTTCAAGTGCTTGTTTTGGCAAGAGCGAGACTTCTCTTTGTTTTGCGCGTGTGCATGGATGGATAAATGAACGGATGAATGGATGGATGGACGGACGGACGGACTGACGGACGGACGGATGGATGCATGGATGCATGGATTCATGGATGCATGGATGCATGGATGTGTGGATGCACGGATGTGTGGAAGTGTGGATGTATGCATGTGTGTTTGTGCGTCGATGGATTCATGGACGCATAAAGCACTGCGGGCAAAGCATGGGTGCATGAAAATGGCTGGCATATCAGGGATAGCAGACTCTGCACAAGCAACTGCGAATGGGAAGCTAGGGAAAAGACACCATTGTTTGCCACGAGCCGCATCATTGTAGGCCGCCTTGGTCGGCAAGCTGACGAAGGCGGAAGTGCTGCCAAATGCAACAGGTGATCAAATCACTGCTGAGTTCTGATGCAGCATTCTGGATAGTAAGAAGCACATACCTCCAGAGAAGCCTTGGTGGGAAGCTCCAGACACCATCTTAACTTATGACGAAACAATCAGCATCCATCCTTGCACAACCCTTGCATATGTGAAGCCCGCTTGTCGCGCCTGCCGCTACAACTGCCAGCAAGAAACCGACAGGAAACCCAAACAAGTATCCTCGCGACAGGCACGGGAGGTGAGATTCTGCGCCAACACTTGAGCTGTCCAAAAAAGCCAGGTGCATGCGTTGTTTGAGGAAATCTTGACGGGAAAATGGCACCACTATACAAACCTCCAGGCTACACTTAGAGATTTGCCTCAGCTATCTCACCATCTCACCTTCACAAGGCTTTGGAGGGCAAAGCGTTCAAATTGCCAATTATACGGTGCTTGCATCGCATTTGGGGTTGCAGATCTTGACGCAGATTTGTACATCAACAACTACCTCTGCTTGGCCAGACTGAATGCTCAATAAGCATGGATAAGCCGTGCAAAACTGTCTTGATGTTGAGCAATCACAGTGAACTTGACTGAAGGCGCGATCAAACAGCAACGGCAAACATCCTGCAGATAGTGTCAAAGGCGTCGCTGGCACCTCAGAATCTCCGGTTGGAACACGCGAAAACGACAAGCAAGCAAATCTGTGCTTCTCCTTGTGCACTCTGCCCTTCTGAGGCTGGCTCCGCAAAGCACAAAGCTCCCGCATATGCAGCGCAGAAATATGGAGCACCCATTGGACCATGCCTGCGCAGGCACCAACATCCAGATTTGGAGGTGTGAGAATCAGCTTAGGAGCTGACGCTATCTGCTGAAGCTGCTCCAACCCCACATGAGATCTGGCCAAAAGCAAAGGACGCGATGGATTCTGGAGATTCAAGGTTGACTGTGTTTTTTGAAGAGAGCAATCCTGCACAAATCCTTGCCTAGCCACCGTCGCTCTGCGGCTTCTCCTCAATCCTTGCATTCCATCACTTTGAATGCACGTCAAGCTGATGATGTCAGCTTGTCCTTGTTGCGAATCTTGCCTGAGCAAGGTCAGGCGAATGCGGCTTTATAAGAAAAAGCAATCCAAGAGAACAACTCGTACACAACCTGCAGCCAGCACATGACCCAGTCCTGGGATAAAAATTGCCCTGGCAGAATGGTAGTGCAATTGGTGCACCATGCCACCGCAATGTGCAGCAAGCGAGGGCGATCAGAAGGGCCTCCCAGGTACCGGACATGGCTGCATGTCTTTGTGCGTTCCAGGAATGCCTTCGCCCATCTGCCCATGATGCGATCAGAGCATGGCCAAATTTGCAAGTGACCACTCTACAGTCCTGAAAGCAGGAATTGGCAACAAGCTGAATGCTTCTAGAAAGAGCACGTGCTTTTGTCTGTTTTTGAGCCAGAAATGACACTGCCCGCAAGCAATGCGATGCGCTTGATGCGACACATGTTCGTTGATCTGCGTAGCACACAACATCTGCGCCGTTTTTAAAGTCGTCCCGCTTCCGTCAGGTTGATGTTGCAGCCTGGAGGAATCCTTGAACAGCCAAAGACAGTTCTGGCTTGAGCCAGATCCCTGAACCCAAGCATGCAGAACCTTTACCAAGCTCTCGCATCACTCATCTGGATTCACGATTGGAGGCACCAAGCAGAAAGCGAAGAGAACAAGTACCTTGCATGCCAAGCATATTGCATGACCTATTCCTCAACAAGTGCGGTCCTTCTTGCCCAAGCATGAAATACAAGCTAAGATGCAAGGAGGAGAAGAAACGTGGCAGCGAGGTAACCAAACGTGTCTGCAAGAGGATTCTCCTGGCGCAAGCAGACTGCAAAGAGCGCTCTCCGGCCACTTCTTGCCTCTAGTTTCGGGATCACATCTCTGAATATGATAGCTGCCATGTTGTCCATGGCCTGTGCGCGAATCATGAAAAGGTCGCCCGGTAATCTGCAAGACTCAAGCAGAAAAGACATGTTGTGCTGCAACCAGGCGCTTCAAGGCGTTGCATCTCCTTTTGCATTACCTTCTTCGACATTCCCATGCCTCAAAGCAGCGCCAGCCCAATTGATCGGATAAGCTTCGCATTGCACTCAATAGACTGAACATGTTCGAGTCACTTCTTGTCATACGCTCACGGGGTTTGTCTTGACCGTGACCATCTGTCATGACCAAGCAAGAGGCCTCCATTCTTCTTCAACTCCATTAATTCCTCTCATGTCATCTGACATTGAGTTGTCAATTAAGAGAATGCTCAATCACGCAGTGGTCCTTGATAGCTGGAGAATCCTTGGCTCTTTTCACTGCTCTTCGGCTTGCCTTCAAGCGAGGAGCGAAACACTGCACAAACCACGGCCTTGTATCACTGAAGCAAGGCTGAAGGAAGCTGCGTACACCAAGCTCAACGCTCACACCTTGAGCATCTGTCTGTGTTCAGTGTGAAGTGTGCCTTCAGAAACTCCTCTTGTTGAGTGAGCACCATTCCCATCACCTGGCAACGGAACAGTTGGAATGCAAACCTTGCCAAACTGTCTTCCAACCGTCGCACGAAATTGATGTCACAAGCCTTGCCTCATACTTCCGCCTGTAAATTGCTTGCTTGCCTGATGCATTGCCCATTTGAAATACATACCTCAGTTGTCGCATCAGGGCGGACTGATGCCATCAGTGGTTTGGTTGCTGTTCAATCGGCTCAAGCAGCTGCGCCACTGCTACAAATGCAGCCGGTGTGGCTGTTCTTTGTCAGCTGTTCGGTGCTTCAGACATGGTGTGTCGGGATGTCGGTTTGGTTTGATGTTGGCAAGCCCCACGTGTGTGGAGAAGTGGTTGGCTTCTTGGAGTGACATCGATCGCTTCATAGACAAACGACGGAGGAAGGGTGGGTCGATGGGTGGTGTTAAATTCTTAGAGCGGGCAAGTGCGAAAGTGCAGCAATGTTGGGTCACAGCGAGGCAAAACATACCCGGAAGTATGATCTTGCTCCAAAAGGAGCTCAAGGCGCTTCCACTGTGGACATGCGGGGGAAGAGGCAATGCACTCAGCTTGGTCACTTGCAATAGAAAAGAGGTGCAAGGGTGGCAATCACACAAAGGCCAGGTCTGCCACGGAGCATCTTGTCCTCAGTCATGCCCATCCGTGCATCTTCCACATTCTGCAGCTCCGGAACTTCTTTGACTGCTGCATCCACCCTCAGCAGTCAAGCAGCAAGTCCCCTGCTCCAGACTAGCAGGCAGGTGTGCTGACGAAATCAGCACGACAAACCTCATACAGACGATACACATCAAACGAATTCAAGCAAGACAGTCAAGGCAAGGCACAAAGGTTGCAGAAGCGACGGGGGTTGCTCTTCCTTCGCATATTCTGATCAAGTCCCTCTGCCCCCATTCTTGCAAGCAGGTCCTCTGGCTCATCTTGCAACAGCTTATCGGCCAGCTTTCTCTCGAGCTGCGCCACGCGGGCCCTGCTGCGGATCAGGGGATGCGTAAATGGATGCGAACATGAAAGCAAACAGGGACGCTGACGTGGATGAAACATAGATTGAGGCTTGGATGAAGACACGGATATTTGGACACAAATATGGACTGCGGTGTGTTTTTCCCAGAAAGATGCGTGAGCTAGGCTCACAAACAGGCAAAACTTTCACCTGCTGCCATTCCGGAGTCCATAGATTAGCAGCCATCACTGGCTCGGAACAAACAACCCGAAGTAACGTTGGAAGAACAAGGTGTCTTACTGCAGCTTATGACTCAGGGCTGCGTGGTCAGGAACAAACACTCGTGCCAAGTTGTTTCAGATATGTTCGAAAGCTTCTTGCGTATATACTAAACAGCGTGTACAAAAAGAGCCCTTGCGGAAATCATGACCAGGGCACGTCACCCACTTCCTCTATATCCACTAATTGCCATCCTTCCTGCGCGTCAATAGATCCAGGAACATATTGTGGCTTATCCCAGGGGAAGCTGCCCCTTGCACGGGCCACGAACGTGATAGCAAATACGAAGAGCTCGTCGACTGGACCACCTTTACAACAGCGGAGACAGCATGTTGACTGATCGCCGCACTCATATGCAGAAAGCTGCTCGAATCAGCTCAGGGACCCTGTTGAAGGGACAACTATTTCAGGCTCACACTCTCAAGAAATACTTCCTGAAGAACGGCGGACGGGCGTCTTTATCAACTCCTCTCGTTCTTCAGTCACAGAAGGACCAACAACGATTTCCTCACATTCATTTGAGAATTTGACACGCTGCTTTGCAGACTCAAATCAGCATGGAACGATCTGAGGCCCACCATCACAGATCAGCCGCCATAGTATCTCCAAGCAGCACGAGAGGCACACGCCAGACTTACAGCACGGCCGCTGCCGGACGACCCAGAGGTTCTCGGGCAACACGTTGACGCGATGACAGTCAGACACCCCTGTTCAGTGACAAACTCACTGCGCAATCCTTCATCATGTACTCGAGTCATGAATGATGCCAAGTCACGACGCTTGCAGCCGATTGACATTTCAGCCATGGACAAGAAGTTGACTCAAGACGGTGCAACTTACGCACAGAATCACAAACCTTCAATGACAACCAAAGCCTGCTAGCAACAAAGCTCGCGGAGTGATAAACAGGATCTCTGAATCTTCGATGAGAAGAACAACCAAAAACTCGTGTCCAGGAAGCACACATGAGTTGGAGTGAAAGGTTGTCCAGTAGACCCTGATCAGATCAGCCGTGATCGTACAATGACTACTGACGCATCAAATGTTGAAGAACCTGATAACTGGAGGCTTCCCTCACAAGCAAGCAAGCCGATGTTCGACTTGTGGAACGAAGGAGGCATAGAGAGCTCATCAAGATCGGCAGCAGACAGGATAATAGACAAGAAGGGTCGGTCGACCGTTGAGCCAACCCCTACTGCAGAGCCGACAAAGGATGAACCAACAGCTCTTCCAATCACCCTAGGCCGAACACACAAGCGACTGCCTCAGTCAGCAGGACTGAAGAAGCTCCATCTCCAAAATCATCATATTATGAGTACAAATCAACTGCGATTTTGAACCGGGGCCTTGCGCCTTGCGAAGAAAATCTACAACCTCTACGAGAACACATCCGCACTGAGTCCCACGTGTGTCAAGCTACAACAGCTTCGAGAAGCAAGACAAGTGGACGAGCGGATACGTTCGGTGACCCTTACAAATCATTGCCAGCCTCGGAAGCGGAGACATGGAAACCAGGCCGACGCCAACCACTTTGGGAGTCCACCTGTTTGGCCATACAATGAGATTCTTGGAGAGACATACTCATATGAACCGATATGGACGAAAAAAGCATCTCCATCCATCCTCTCCCTTTCTCACTTCATCTGATCTTAGATAGGACAATGGCCGACAGGAGATGGACTCAGCCAGGCGAGGCGGAAGTACCAGGACATAGAGTGAGCCATTGTATGAGGGCTTAATGTCAGCTCCATATGGGATAACCAAGAGAGCTGACTCTAGAATTCATCCCGCCTCTCAGTCTTCTCTGTGAGGCATGAAGGGATGGGTAATAGAAAACCATTCATCTCTCTTATTCTTGTTCCACATCCTTAAGTAATTTCCATTGGAACAAGACGAATTAAGAAAAGAGGCACATTATAGTTGTGATAGAAATATCTTCAAGTGCAGATAGTATGCTTCTTTCCACATCACTCTACTCTTTCCTATCCTCTGTCATTCTAGTTTGGTTGGAGACAGAGGTAAAAGGAAAGAGGGTGATGGCCATCTCTTCACCCGTCCTGTAGATGGACGGGAGATAGACATTGTTCCCTGTAGGTTTGGGGGACATCGGGCAAGGGGTAGAGAATGTTCGCCAAGACAACAAACGCGCCTCAGGGCCTCATTGTCCGCGTCACTGCGTTCTGGGTCCGCTGCAGCCATTGCCAGAATCCGCTCAGCATACCTAAGATTATCTTGGCGAAAGGTTAAAGGCGCAGAATGCCAGTTGCAGCGCCTGGAGTAGGGAGCTCGTATGAAGGAAAGCTGCTCACCTGGTTGGACATGTCCATCTGTATCAAAAGTATCAGCTTTGTCAGTTCACAATCTGTTGCAAGGCATCCCAATCCCACCTTGTCTAAACCATGCACGAAGGAGAAGTGCCAAAAGAAGTGGGAGAGTGAAGCCTAAAGCTACGGCACGGACCAAAGACTGAAAGGGATTTCAGTGGGTTAGCTATCATAAAGTAGCATGCATCTCAACCATTGTGAGCAATCGATGCGTTCAACGATAGTCTGAGTCAAAGACTCAATCGAGCTCTGCGTACCTTGACATATGGACAAAAAAGTCGAATTGTGTGAAGGTACGAAACCTCGACTCTAAGGTGCCCACAGGCGGCACCCAATTGACGACTCCCATGCTGAGTTCACGTCGAATAAAATGATCTCACATTGAAACATGCTTGCTGCTTGCAAAGTGAGTATGGCTAGCGTCACCACCTCTGCACAAGGCAAAACAAAAGCTTGCTCTCACAGTTCGTCGAATCCTGCAACATGTAAGATGGTGTGATCTACTTTGAAAGCTTCCGCAGGTTTGTACAAAAGCCGCCAAATACCGGGCCCTATGATACATACAATTTACCGCTTCTCTAAACGACGATTTGGATGCCCAAGTGTGGATCCAACATGTTGTGCGCCTCTGTGGTTTCTCCGATTCAGAATAGATCCACAGGCGGGGCATCCAAACCACAGATTGACAAGTCATGAATCACAGTTTGGCAACAGTCTTTTCGAGGCAGGCTCTTTTTCCGCTGCCATGAAGAAACGAATGCATAATCAGAACTCGCCCAACTGCCCTAGGTCCCAGCGCGGTACCTGAAAGTGCCACGACAGTAGGTCTTGGTAGCGTTCTTTGTGCAATTGTCAGCTGTCACCAGCCTCCAGCCTATCCAAAGCCAGGATGCTCAATCCCACTCCGCTAATTGCAAGGAGTTCATTAACTCACACTCTACTCGAACAAACCAAATGGATCAAAACGGGGACAGATCTTAAGCTATGTTGTCCTTGTACGGGCCACATGATCAAGAACCCTCTTGCTTCCTTCAGGATTGTTTTGCTTCCTCGCGATTTATCTCGGCGCAAAATGGTGCTCTCTGGCGGCCTCATTGGACACGTGCTATGACGATAGGTGCCCGACACACCAGAAGTTGATGCAGTTGGTGACCCATCCACGGTCAAACACGTTCCTCACTGAGAGCTCAATGCAAGCTCAACGAAACGCAACCAACGTTTCGGTGCCAAGAATATCCAAGAATCAGGGACGGCTCATACTCAAATCTGTCGTTGTCCAGTCCTGCAGTGGCTGCAGTATGATTGTCATGCATTCAACACGCTGTGCATCATCTGCTTCGGCTCTGCCCATCCACCCATCCTGCATTGAACTCAACGTCATCCAGGTCATTCACTGGAACTGCCTTGCCTGTCCTTGGAAATGACAAAAGCGGCTGGCGCCGCTTTGACTGCTCTTGGTATTCAATAGTGTTGCGTAAAGTGTTGTTAACCCTCTTGTGGGCATTCGCGCCTGTGTGCATGGCCCGATCTGGCCCCCTCTTTTCCGTGGGTCGCACACTCGTCCCCTGCTTGGTTCTGTACCCTGCATCTGTCTGGTAGAACGACTTACTCGAGCCAATTTGCTCACACCTGCAAACTGTTGCGGCACTAGATGGATCACCTAAGAACACACCTCACAATTGCAAACGAGAACAACCAGAGAAAACACAGCCGGAGTCATGAAAAAGTCTCATCCCAGGCCTGTTGGCTATCTGGGCAAAAGATCAGGGAGACAGCCTTGTCATTGTTTGACAAAAGAGTCATTACAACAACAATGAACCCAAGTTCAATGACCTCGTTACCCAAAAACTTACAAGCTAAGTGCAGGAAAATGAGGGCTGAATGCAAGAAGGAATATCACTACTGTCCTACTGTCTGTTGGTGAATCAAGCATGTCCAGAATCATTGCCCACTGCGGCCATGTGCATACACTTGTGTGCACTCGCTGTCTTCCAAAAAAGTGACCCATGCCATGGTTGCAAGAGAATGTCAATGCCTCAGAATCTATAATGCGTGAAGAAGCATGAACGCCAACAGCATCTGCTGCGGGCTAATGGGTTCACCCCAAACAATCAGCTGGGCCATGCGGCGGATCTCGCATCACATAGAAGAGATTGTGCTTGTACTCATTGGCAAGCTCATTCCTTTCACGCTTAAAGGGCTTTAACGCGATGCAAAGTATGCGTACCCGATATGTCAAGAGCACAACATGCTGAATCGTTCCGCCATGAGGCCTAGATACAAACGTGATGTGCAACCGCAGGATAGGTCCAGACAATAGCGTCAGCATGACTGAATACCTCACTCAACAACATTGACATCGATTGTACGTGGAACTGCGCGGGGCACGTTAAATGCATGATCAGCAGAAAGCCGGCAAAGTGTCGGCCCTCACTGGACGCCAACACAACCAGAATGAAATCCACCACGCACCCACAGAGACCAATAGTGAAAAGGCCTGCTACCATGAGGACAAACTCTCGATGATTCAAAAGTCCAACAGCATTCGTCAACCAGCGACAATAATGATCGTACCGGCGGATGGGCTGCTTGAAAAGCCACATCTTGTGGCATCGTCTTGGCATTTCTTCAGTCGCTGTGAGCTTCTCTTTCGGCAGCTTTCCAGGATCGCAAAGAACGCAATACATCAAGCATCCCAGAGTCAGTGCATACAAGCACAGAAAGAAGACTCGAATGCTGTATCCCCATGAAAGTTCCCGGATGATTGGAAACTGTACCATCAGCATGTGTATGGCACCAACCAGTGTGGAACCAAAGAGTAATAACGGAAGATATGGACGCTTGTCGTTGCCAAAGCAATCAACACTGTCTGCAGGAGGTCGTCGTTCATCACCACACTCATCTGCATCACACTCCTCTTCCGCACATTGCTGCTCCTGAGGATCTGCGCAGGCAGATGCTGTTCGTGGAGCTCGATGAGTACCGCTGGCAAGACGCGGAACGTGACCAGGATCGTTGACAATTCGAGATGGCGTGGGAAATGTGCTTGGCGCCGCTTGCAACAGTTCCTCTCGGCCCCTGTCTCTGTCTCCTCCTTGGATACCTCCACCTTCGCGGTCTTGCATCCGGTTTTGCGCTACATGCTACACCTGCACTCTGATGTTCTGTTTGGTGCAATGCTAGTGAAGCAACACAAGCGCTGAGCCTTGTTCTCCGCAATTCGCAGATTCCCCTGCTTTTGAGCATGAAATGACACGGTGGCAATGAGCAAATCAAGGAGCAGTGCCTTGAGCTATCCTGCAAATGCTGTGGGTGCAAGCCGTGCGAGCGGCAAAGGCAAAGCAAACAAGCCTGGCTCCCTCTACCTTTGTTGCTCAGTGCTCTTGCGACAGCATGAACAACACTCTTGCAATCCTGGGCTCACCCTGACAAGCCGCCCATTGGGCACAAGGCCTGCTGCATATTATGGACACAAGCAGCCGCAGGTGGAACTCGTGAACCAGCACGATTGGGTACTGTGACCCAGGTGCATGAAACGGAACAAAAGAGCAGGCTGAAACACCGTCCTACCGGTAGGACAGCCCACTCAAGTGAAAGGGGTGCAAGTGCACATTCTTCTTCAAAAAGGCTGCGCTGGGCAAGTGAAACGTTGCTTGCCCAGCATTCGTTCAGACAAGAAGCTGCTTCTAGTGCAAAAGCTCACCACCAAGACCTTGAAGGGGAAGCTGCCAATCAGTCCTGAGAAAGAGGCAAGGCGTACTTTTGAATACGACACTTGTTCAGGCCATGCTGCACTGGCTGCCCAGAGGATGCTGGTTGGCCGCCAAACAATCCCAGTCGGGCCTCAAGTGCCACAGTTGGCAAAAGCGGCATAGACTGGACACACCTATTTCGAGCTCCAAACATATTCTTCGATCAAGCAGAAGAGCCCCACGTGCACTGCAAAGCCATGAATCCGATCCTAGGCAAGAAACAAGAAGCACAAGTCTTACAGGCAGAACAGTTGATCGGACCGGTTGGACGTCTGAGCTGCTTGCCAAGACATCCCGCGCCCAAACTTGCAAAGGCAGCCTTGCTCAACGACAAGTCTTTCATGCTGCTCCCAAGATTCTGCATGCAGCGCGGTAAGTTCCGTCAGCCAATACCAGCGGGCAAAAATGTGATGCTTGCAGCCAGGGATAAGCTGTGTTGCAACCAAGGCACCTCAAGCTGGCAGCCTTCACATCAAAAGATGCAAGACCTGCTTGTGGACTGGTGTAGCAGGATGCTTCAAATCGTCCAAAACTCCTATATTGCGCTCTGATTGCTGCCTTCATGTGGGGCAACGGCCAGCTTCGAGCGAAGTGACGGAAGACCTCCGATGTGTTGGCCAATTTTGTTTCAGACGCCCCCCCCCCTCCCCCAATCATCTAGGCCTGTTGACATCTGACTAGGCGGTCTTAGAAATGCCGTAGCTCCGGCCTCACATTCAGCTCGACCACATTTCTGGCTTTGGACCATGCAAAGGCTTCAGATGCTGGCCACGCACAGAGCTGCACCCAACGCGAGCGTCAAAGTCTGGCGTTGCCTCCAACAGCCACATATGAGCTTAAGCCACTCCCCAGTTCTCAGAATGGAATCTGATCTGGAAAACCATCGATACGATGGCATGCAAATCAAGAAACAAATCGGCCATTCACCTTGTGCGGCGCATCGACTTGGCAGATGCCATGCTGCCACCGGCACTCACACGCTTCTCAGTGCAATGATTGCTGCAAAGAATGACTTATTTTTGTGGTTGAGACGTGAAAAACAGACAACTGACCACAAACAGCTGCGCCATGGCTGAGAGGCTTGCACAGTGTTGCCGCCTGCCTTCACGTTTGCAGGTATGGCGCTTCCAAACTAATGAACAAGTTGCGTTATTTTTTTAACTTCACCTGGTGCAACGCCAGAAAAGAAGTGAAACACGCGTGGCGCAACTTCGGCGGCCGCACAAATCCTACCACATGCAAGGTGCTTGGGCACCAAAAAGCTTTCACCAGCTTCTCTGTCTGAAACATTAGCGCATGGACTAGGACGCTGTAGGGGAAAGCGTAGCTCTTTCACTTTGCCTTGCTTTTGTCCGGGTCCTGACAACAATATCATTCTCGAACGACATTGGCTGACATCGTGTCTATGTCCTTTTCAAATGCCCCGCGCAAAAAGTATGTGATGGATCTTGATTCTGCTGGAAATGGGCATGAACAACTAAGGCCCTGTCGATTCCAAGCTGTTTCGCGGCTGTGGAGGCTTCCTGGCAACTGGTGCCGCAAGCATGCAGGCCTGTGCAAGGCCGGCCGGTGCGCAAGCCTCGCCCAGGTGTCTCAGCGCTCCCAATCCAGTAACCTGCACAATCAATTGAACAGTGTGTCAGCCAGCTCTTGCCCCAATAACAAGGCCCTTCCTGCTGCAAAATGTGATGAGCCACTCGAATTTGGTCTTCCATCCTGGCAGAAAGTTTGAGCTGAGCTGACCTCTCTCACTTCTTTCAACAGCCAGCGCTGCAGCCGTTTTTCTTCATCATAGGCTTCTTCCTGGTCCTCCCAAGCATATCGGTTGTTTGTAATTTTTCTGTGAGCACAAGAAGAAGAAGAAGAAGTGGCATGCCTGCAGCTTTTCCCTCAGTTGCACATTCTCCACGCTTAATCTTTGCGTCCCGGCCTGTCAGGGGCAAGTTATTCGTTGCTTTTGAAGCGTGCCAGTGACCGACAGCAACAATAAGAGGCCGCAGAGGCTGTTGGGCCGCAGGCGACACCATCAAGGGAGCGACGCGAAGCATCGCAACATTAGGCTTGATCTGGAATTGACCGACCCTAATCCCCACCCCACCTTCTGCTGAAGGCTTTTTTCCAGAGCTTCATTGTTCTTGTGCTGTTTGCTGTGTTGTTTTTGCGTCGTTCCGCCTGAAATTGGTTTTTAGCAGCTCCTAGAACATCCCAGAATTGCCCGTAACGGATCTTCTGAAAGCCTGGCACCCAATGCAATCTGAGAGGATGAGAACACTGATCCGCAGCCTCAGCCAGTTGGGGTGACTGGCCCCCAGCAACTCAGCCACTTGGAGTGGCGGCTGAGTGGCTTCAGCCACTCAGCCACAGCAACTCTCTGACACCCAGCCACTCTCTGACACTCAGCCACTCTCTCACACCCAGCCACTTTCTGACACCCAGCCACTCTCTGACACCCAGCCAGTCTCTCACACTCAGCCACTCTCTCACACCCAGCCACTCTCTGACACCCAGCCACTCTCTGACACCCAGCCACTCTCTGACACCCAGCCACTCTCTGACACTCAGCCACTCTCTCACACCCAGCCACTCTCTGACACCCAGCCACTCTCTGACACCCAGCCACTCTCTGACACCCAGCCACTCTCTGACACCCAGCCACTCTCTGACACCCAGCCACTCTCTGACACTCAGCCACTCTCTCACACCCAGCCACTCTCTGACACCCAGCCACTTTCTGACACCCAGCCACTCTCTGACACTCAGCCACTCTCTGACACCCAGCCACTCTCCAGCCACTCTCTGACACCCAGCCACTTTCTGACAACCAGTAAATTTTTAACCCAAGCCACTCTCTGACACTCAGCCACTCTCTCTCTGACACCCAGCCACTTTCTGACACCCTGCCACTCTTTGACACTCAGCCACTCTCTGGCGCCCAGCCACGCACCTAGCCACTCTCTGACACCCAGCCACTCTCTGACACCCAGCGACTCTCTCACACCCAGCTACTTTCTGACACCCAGCCACTCTCTGACACCCAGCCACTCTCTGACACCCAGCCACTCTCTCACACCCAGCCACTCTCTGACACCCAGACACCCAGCCAGACACCCAGCCACCCTGACACCCAGCCACTGACTGACAATGACCCACTCTCTCACACCCAGCCACTCTCTGACACCCAGCCACTTTCTGACACCCAGCCACTGACACTCAGCCACTCTATGACACCCAGCCACTCTCCAGCCACTCTCTACTCTCTGACACCCAGCCACTCTCTGACACCCAGCCACTCTCTGACACCCAGCCACTCTCTGACACTCAGCCACTCTCTCACACCCAGCCACTCTCTGACACCCAGCCACTCTCTGACACCCAGCCACTCTCTGACACCCAGCCACTCTCTGACACCCAGCCACTCTCTGACACCCAGCCACTCTCTGACACTCAGCCACTCTCTCACACCCAGCCACTCTCTGACACCCAGCCACTTTCTGACACCCAGCCACTCTCTGACACTCAGCCACTCTCTGACACCCAGCCACTCTCCAGCCACTCTCTGACACCCAGCCACTTTCTGACAACCAGTAAATTTTTAACCCAAGCCACTCTCTGACACTCAGCCACTCTCTCTCTGACACCCAGCCACTTTCTGACACCCTGCCACTCTTTGACACTCAGCCACTCTCTGGCGCCCAGCCACGCACCTAGCCACTCTCTGACACCCAGCCGCTCTCTGACACCCAGCGACTCTCTCACACCCAGCTACTTTCTGACACCCAGCCACTCTCTGACACCCAGCCACTCTCTGACACCCAGCCACTCTCTCACACCCAGCCACTCTCTGACACCCAGACACCCAGCCAGACACCCAGCCACCCTGACACCCAGCCACTGACTGACAATGACCCACTCTCTCACACCCAGCCACTCTCTGACACCCAGCCACTTTCTGACACCCAGCCACTGACACTCAGCCACTCTATGACACCCAGCCACTCTCCAGCCACTCTCTACTCTCTGACACCCAGCCACTCTCTGACACTCTCTGACACCCAGCCACTTTGTGACGCCCAGACCAGCCACTCTCTGACACTCAGCAACTCTCTGACACCCAGCCACTCTCTGACACTCTCTGACACCCAGCCAGCCACTCTCTGACACTATCTGACACCCAGCCTCTCTGACACCCAGCCACTCTCTGACACTCTCTTGACACCCAGCCACTCTCTTGACACCCAGCCACTCTCTTGACCCAGCCACTCTCTGATACCCAGCCGCTCTCTGTAACACCCAGCCACTCTCTGACACCCAGCCACTTGCCCTGACACCAGCCACTCTGACACCAGCCACTCTCTGACACCCAGCCACTCTCTGACACCCAGCCACTCTCTGACACCCAGCCACTCTCTGACACCCAGCCACTCTCTTTTTGACACCCAGCCACTCTCTGACACTCTCTGACACCCAGCCACTCTCTGACACCCAGCCACTCTCTGACACCCAGCCACTCTCTGACACCCAGCCACTCTCTCACACCCAGCCACTCTCTGACACCCAGCCAGACACCCGGCCACCCTGACACCCAGCCACTGACTGACAATGACCCACTCTCTCACACCCAGCCACTCTCTGACACCCAGCCACTTTCTGACACCCAGCCACTCTCCCTGACACTCAGCCAATCTCTGACACTGCCACCCAGCCACTCTCTGCCACCCAGCCGCTCTCTGCCACCCAGCCGTCTGACAGCATCTCTGACACCCAGCCGCTCTCTCTGACACCCAGCCACTCTCTGACACCCAGCCACTCTCTGAGACCCAGCCATTTTCTTGACTCTGATACCCAGCCACTCTCTGGCATCCAGCCACCTCTCTGACACCCAGCACTCTGCAACCACTCAGCCACTCGGCCGCTCTGACACCCAGCCCCCGCGGCCGCCCAGCCACCCAGCCACTCAGCCACTCTTACACCCAGCCACTCCACGCTGACACCCAGCCACCCAGCCACTCAGCCACTCAGCCACTCAGCCACTCAGCCACTCAGCACCAATCTTTCGCTTCCAATCTGCAACTTTGTTGATGCAACTTTTTGGGAGTTTTCTCTGCCGCGTTTGCTGGGTTGGATCTGGCGGGATGAAATGTGCGTCGAATGTGCGGATTTTCCAAGTTGCTATGGTGCAGGGGTGCAATCTGCGCGCGGGCTCGAATGAGGGTGGCGGTTCTTTGGTCAGTTACGTGGCAGATGTTTGGAAATCTGGTTTTGCGCAGCACTTGCGACATGGTCAGCTTGCACGCGTCTCGGTTTAGAAAGGATCAGGCGTGTTCCTCTTAAAATCCTCGGCATGGCCTGCAATTGGTTTTCAGCGGCTCCTACAACACTGCCCGAGCCTCAGCCCGGCCAAACCGTGTTTTGGCCAGCTCAGTCTTCAACCCAGCCCGCTGAAGCCGTGCAGTGTCAAGCACTTCAGTCCAGCTTTTCCATTACCGCCAGCCCAGTCGAGCGTGCAGGGTTTCCTGCGCAACTTCGGCCCTTGATATCCACTGGTCCAACAACGCCAGAACCTGTCCGTTGTAAGCTTCTTGCACGCAGCGCCCACTGCATCACTTGGCTCCATGATCACACCTATGAATCGCCACTCGACCAGCTCTGTTGCTTGCTTTCGACCCATAGACGCTGCATGCTGGGCTGGGCCGAGGCGGACAACGCAAAAAGCTTACGATTTTGTGGGAAATCCAGTGAGTTTCCCCATGTCCCTCCCAAAATGGACCGTAGACACCCCGGAGGATTTGACCAAACCTCATGTGAGTGTCTGCAACAAAAGTGCAGGCACTGGTAAAGACAAACAGACATACAAGGCATAGTTTCTAGCTGGCAAAGAACGAGCTATGGAACTGCCAATTGATTAAGAACAGGCCAGCCTGCATCTGAGCGTACCTGTCCTTCAACTCTTCGAGCTCAGCTTCAAAAGGATTCGGGAACCTAGCAGTTCGACCACATGCTACTTTAGCCTAGTGCCAACATGTTTCCCAAATGCCTTCTGACTTGTTCCTCGATCTGCTTGCAGGCTTCCTGCACTCTGCCAAAATGCATGCTTAAATGCAGCAAATGCCCAAGTACGGAGATGACAAGCACATCCAGCGTGCCTGCGCTTTCAGCATCTCTTGCTGGAGGATTTGCTTTACTTGCTCGTGCTCCTTCATCATGGCCTGGACAAGATATCCGGCAATCCGACAGCTTCGCAATGATTGACTGGCCTCATATCTTTCATCTCGCCACCGGATTTGTGGCTCCCAATCCTCCTGCGCTCCCTGCAAAAGCACTCTGATGCTCGCCAATTTGCAAACACTATCTTGTGTGCCCCAACCTCTGCCTGCTCGACGACCTCATGAACATGTTGGCGAAGCTGAGTATTTTCCTTCAAGAGCAGGCTGCAGCAGAACAAGAGACTCGCGACAACTCCACTGGGGCAGCAAATGCATTCTCCTCGATGAGTATGCGAACACCCTCCTGAATGGGCAGCAAGGTGTCGACTGAAGGCCACGTTTCACTCAAAGCTGCACCTCTTGCTTCTTGATGTTGGCTTCTAGCTCAGCTATCTTCTTCTTCATAGCTTCCTGAACAAAACAAACCCACATCTGAAGAAAAAAAGAAAAAGAAAAAACGAGTGCCTAGATTCCAAAGCCGGGCCTTTTCAGGATCTTCGAGTCGTGAATCTGCGAGCCGTAGTGCTCTCCTCAAGATTGTGTGATTCAAAACTGCTATCAGCGCCAGGTCGGTCCTCAATTCAGCTTCTTTGATAAGAAGGTTTCTTTCCAACTCCAAGATCTTCTTCTCCAACTGTGCAGGTGCAGGGAGGGTGCGTCAAGCATGTCAGAGCAAGCTTCCGGCTGCCCAAGAGCGCATTGTGAGACACGCTGTCTGCCTCCTCCTTCTGAATGTGTAAGGGGACCATTTTCTTCTTCCACTCCTCCTCAACCTCACACAAGATTTACTGTGAGCCGACTGCTGCACGTGAATGACAAAAGGCCTGCTGGACCTTTTCCAGCCATTTTGCAATTTCCTTCTGAACATTCTCTCTCTCCTGCAGCAGGTTCCAAACACTAAACCACATTGATAGACGGCTGTGCAATCACGCTCTCTGATGGGTGCATCAACCATATTGCTGCAAACTCCTCCGAATTGTCCAGCGCCATTTTCCTGCCCGAATGGAAATGTGATCAAAGGCTTTACTCACCACGGTGGGATGCTATTGCAGGGAGAAAAATAGTAGTCTCGCCTGAGCTGCTTGTCTTTTGTGAAGAGCTGGGCTTGGTACTCCTCCTGAAACACGAAAGCTTCGGCAAAAAGGCAGAGCTGCCCCTCTTTCTCTCTCTCTCTCTCTCTCAAATCACACCCGAACGAGAGCACGCCTCCATCTCATCCCGCGCTATGCAAATTCTTGCATATGCTCGCTTCCAAACATCGATGGTGTCTACAAGCTCCTCGAGGAAAATGCTTCTGATGACAGCAAACAAACTTGAAATGGAAGGAGCTTTCAAACCATTTGCCATATTTGCCACAGGCCTCTCGATCTGTGAATCGCATGGCTTCGACAAGCTGCTCCAATTGCTCGATCCTTGCCTGGCAAGAGCTGCCAAATAGTTTCGCTCCGTCCCTGAACAGTCAGTGCACCTGGAACGATGCTACAATAGCTCTCTTCTCCTCCGTCATCTCAATGGTGATGCGCTCCTGGGCAATCAAGTTCTTGCTATTTGCAGTCAAACAACTTACCCACCCCGGCCTTCTGTTCAACTTCATTTCGGAACTGTGCTTGCAGTTTTGCATAGTCACCCACCTGGGTTGTTATTTTCAAGTCAAGGATTCCTGCGAGGGCAGCTAGCTCCTTAGGGCCACTGCCATCTCAGCTATGCCTTGCTCCTTCTGCAAGATCAAATCCGCCGTCTCTTTCATGTGCATGTCGATGTCCAGTTGCAAATCTGTCACGTTAGGATAGCTCTAAAACTCCAAGCAACAAGATGTACGCAACTTCCACTGCAATCTCAATGTGAAGGCATGGTGGCAAAAAGGATAGTCCTCTTATCTGCCTTTTCTGCTTCTTAATCATCTCCTGGATTCCAAAGAAACACACGCCGCACATTGCCACATGCCACTGCGCCTTCAACTCGTGAGTCTGCCTGGTGAGCTGCACATTTTCTTCCTGCGGGCTCTGGCTTGGGCACAGAACGTGTGACTCGATCTATGAAGACGGCAGCATCGGTCCTTGAGATCTCGTGCTCGGCGCAGCGCCTGATTGTCAATACAAACAGCCCATGAACATCCAAAGCAGACCGCACCTCGGAAAGCCCTCCGGGCCCCAACCTGCAAACTGACGCGAAGAACAAGGTGTCTGCCTTCACTGGCTCATGGTGCAAAGCTTCTGAATAGTATTGCGCAGACAATGTACCAAGTCATCCCGGACCAAAAACCGGCCAGGACTCGGACAGTTCGTCATACTTCTTCTGAAGCTTATCGAAAAGGCTAAGCAGCTTGTCGTACCTGATTGTATGGAAGCTTATAACACCTTGACACGGTCTAGCAAGATTTGCGCGTGGCCATCTGGATCATCAATTTAGTGCCGCAAAGATGCTTGACTTCCCAAGACTCGGCCACAAGCTCAATCTCATTCTTGAGAGACGTAACCAAGCGATCCCGAGTGCGCACTAGCACCTCACATAGCGCAGAGAATCCCAAAACCAAGCTGTTTTGCAAACGGCGCTGAGACAAAGTGCTGCAAAGTGCCTCAAGCTCTCGCTCCTTGCTCTCCCAGGTTATTCGAGCTTTGTCGAACTGGCCACGTACCTGACAAGCACATAGTATCATGTATAGCTCAGTCATCCAAAATCAGCGGCAGACCCCTCCCGCTGCATGATAGGTACATTGAGTGTCAATAAACAACTACATTCATAGAGACCCGAGACTCGAGACCCAGCAACTTTTCGATTGGGTTGCTACATTAGGGGTCTGAGATGCTGTTGACTGGTGGATCATGCCTGTGCTGGCTGGGGGGGAAGCGCCAAACAACGCAACGCTGAGAGCATGGGTTGATGCATCCTTGGTTGGGTCTATGCTGGTGTGGTGAGTTTGTTGGTTTTGTCGAACCAAAGCAAGCGAGAGGCTTTCTGCTTTGAGGCATTGCCAGCGAATTCCGATTCTTCAAGGCTAGACAAATCCAAATTCATCGACGCCTCACATTCTTGCACACGCATACACATACAAGTGCCCCAACAACAACACCTCAAGGAAAGCACTTGACACATCCAAGTCCCCATTAAATTCAACTACCTGAAGAGGCAACATGCTTGCGCTCACGCATCTCCCTCACGGCCAAGCGACGGCAAGCAACTCCTTCTCTCTGGCAGCTTGGGCTTTGTCTCGGCGGACCTTGCCAGCAACTCAGCTATGGCTGTGACTCAACCCACTTGGTTGCCAGAACAGTGCGGCATTAAGATAAGGCAGGTCGTGAGCTGCTGCGGAAGCTGTTCTGATCACGAAGGCCCTCCAAGGGCAGCACGATCTCAATCTCAAGGTCGGCTTCCTGAGCAAATGCTGTTGTCTGCACTTTTGTGGAAATGCGGCAAAGCTGTTCGTTTAGGTGCGTGTGCGGGTGCAGGTGTGGGTTGGGTGTGGGCGTGGGATATTTGGGTATTCCTGGACCCAGAATAGATCCTGGGGTAGCGCCAAGAGTTTTTAGAGGTCCCAACCTCAATTGTGGACACAGGCTTCTCCATTGAGGCACTCGCTGCAGCCTTTCAAGCCGACAAATCGGCCCAAACAAAGCAAACACAACCAACAGTCACTCAATTTGTCGACGAGCGCCAAGATGCCCCTGTCGTTTGACAGTCGAGTTACTCGGTTCACATGTGAAGATCTGGTGCGGGGCTTGATACTTTTACAGCGACCGTGAAAGAGAGACGTGAACCCGTGCTGAAAAGCAGGCTGACAGGCAATACACTTGCTCACCAAGAACAAGAACTTCTCAAGAACGAAACGCTCCTGGAGGCAGAAACCGTAGTTGAGCAATTCCTTGTGTGTGTTTGCTTATTTGCGTGTTTGCCAGTTTGTGTGTGTGTGTGTGTGTTGGGGTATGTGAGTTCGTGTTTGTTTAATTGTTTGTTCGTTCGTTCGTTTGTTTGCTTGTTTGTTTGCTGTGTTTGTGCGCACAGGAAGTGGACTATGGCCGGCTGCCTGAGGCTCCTGCTCGGCATTCGTAGTGTGTCCTTAAGACAAACCAATGGATAGCCCGGGAAGCATCATGCTGTACAAGCCAAGAAGAAGGCCGAAGATCATCATACGCAGCCTGGGACAACCAGCTTTGCCAGTTGTGGAAGACAACGGATGAGGCCTCCCATTCTCTTCTTATCTCATCTTCGTTGTTCGCTTTGGTGGCCATCTCTGCCTGGAGTCGAGTCAAACTAAGATCCGGCCCAAACGCCAGCAAGACAAGCCTCAAGCTCGCGATTTCGCTTGAAGAGCATATTCCTGTCGCGCAATCTGCATCTCAACTCCTGCAGGGCGCGTTTCTAGACAATAAGCCATCCACATTTGAAAAAAAAGAAAGATGCGGACTCAGAAGTGAACCTGAATCCTAAACTAGCAAGGACGATGTGTGTCTTGTCATATTCGAACCCGGTCTCAGGAGGAAAGAACCAAACAAAAAGCGGTTCAGACAGCAAACGAAGCAAGCAGCAAAGCAGCAAAGCAGCCAGCAGGGTGGTGAACAGTCAGCAAAAGGCACAGGCTGCAGCACAAGCCTTCAACGTTCTCCCTTAGCAGACGTGCAGTCTCAAAGGAATTCACTGGCAGCACTGCACAACTGAGCAAACACCTTCTGTTTGGGAAAGTACGTGCGCCCTCTTTCCACAGGCGCAGTACGCAGAAGAAATGTGCTTCCAGGGTCATGTGCTACCTCTGAAATGTCCATTTCTCTCGAGCTTTCCCGAGATAGAACCCAAATCCTCAGAGGTTTCAAGAACTGGCCGCTTTCATGGAAATTCCAAAGGTCAAAGGTGATGAAGCCTAGATTGATCTCAACAATGACAGCACCTAAGGCGACTTACTCCTGCGAACGCGATATGCCAGA